ATCTAGAATTTAAATTATTTTTTTTAAATAACAAATATAGTTGAGTTTAAATTATAGCAAAAAGTATAATTAAATACTGATAATTAATAAAAATAACTTACAATCTAAAATTTTATATTATTTTTTTAAATAAAAAATTTAATAGAATTTGAATTACAATAAAAAGTATAATTAAATACTGATAATCAATTAAAATAACTTACCATCTATTATATTATTAATCATTAATTTTTTTTTTAAATAAAATTTTAGTTAAGTTTAAATTACAGTAAAAAGTATAATTAAATACTAATAATACTTACCATCTATTATCATTATATCATTAATTATTAATTATTTTTTTAAATAAACAATTTAGTTGAGTTTAAATTATAGTAATAAGTATAATTAAATACTGATAATCAATAAAAATAACTTACCCTCTTTAGTAGTATTTTTGATTTTTAAATAAAAAATATTATTGAGTTTAAATTACAGTAAAAAGTATAATTAAATACTGATAATCAATAAAAATAACTTACCCTCTTTAGAAGTATTTTTTGATTTTTAAATAATAAATTTAGTTGAGTTTAAATTACATTAAAAAGTATAATTAAATACTGATAATCAATAAAAATAATTTACCCTCTTTAGTAATATTTTTGATTTTTAAATAAAAAATTTAGTTGAGTTTGAATTACAGTAAAAAGTATAATTAAATATTGATAATCAATAAAAATAACTTACTATCTATTATATTATTAATCATTAATTATTTTTTTTAAATAAAAATTTAGAATTTAAATTTTATTACAATAAAAAGTATAATTGATTAATTAAAATATTACTTTCTATAATATTAATAATATATTATATTAGCATTATTGATTGATATTGTAGTTACAATTATAGTTAATTTTTAATAAACTTACGTTCTATAAATAAAAATTTGGAAAGTTCAAATTATTATAAAAATTATAATTAAATATAACTACATAAAAATAACTTACTGACTAAAATAACATTAAAATTTTTTTAAAATAAATTAGTTATATTTAAATTGCAATATGAAAATTATAGATAACTTACTCCCTATGGTATTATTAATTATTAGATATTATTTATTAAATAATTTAATTGTATTAAGATATATAAAAGTTAAATGGCTTACAATCTATGTATAAATGAAAATTAAATTAAATTTTTTTTTAAAAATTAAATTGATATTTTTGACTAACGATAGAAAGTTTATCTTTTACCATCCAATCCTTTTTAAATTTTGAACAAAAATTGAACATAATTAAATTATAATATTTGTTAAATACATATATTAGTTATTGTATTTACCTTCTTCATCACTCGGAACTAATTTATATTTCAAATTTAAATTAAATAAAAACAATTTTCGTGGTATTGTTAATTATTTATGTTTACCTTCATCACATGAAGCTGATTTTATGTTTATTTGATAAAATAGTGAATAAAAATGAGCAATGAATTATTATAATATTTAAATGTGGTTAATAATACATGGAATTACCGTTACCTTCTATTTCTTCTAATGAGGATACTTCCATAACATCCGAAAATGACTCTAACGTGAATTAATGAAATAATATTTTTTTTAGAAATCAAATCATCTAACCCGTCAACTAAATTCATTCGAGCTTCATACCTTTTATTCCTTTTATTCCTTTTTTTTGTTTGATGAAAATATTTTTAAATTTTTCTATTAAACTTTTACCTTTATTGTCACTATCAGACATTGTTATTATTTTTAAAAGAAAGCTTTTTTTTAAATTAAAAAAAAAAATTATTTTGTATAAATAATGGTGATACATATTCAAGATATGAAGATCTTACCGCAGTATTTGAGGCACAGCACTTTAATGTTATGGTAAATATTAAATTTCATAATTATTTTTGAGAATTGTAATTAATAATTATGTCATACAATACAACTGATCAAAAAATGCATTGCACAGCCAATGAAAAATTTTGAGGTATTGCGTATTTAACAACACGTGATAAGATGCACTCTGCGCAAAAATTTTAGAGCGACGACGGGGATATGATACGATTGATTCTTTTTCTTAAGTTGAAAAGAAAAATAAACTTTTGCCATAAATGTATGTTTTGAGTTATAGGATCTTAATTACAAAAAAAAATAACTGCATCATATCACATGAAAATATCTATTACAGTGTCATTGAAAATCTTTTGAATGATCGAGTTTTCGGTACTGCGTATTATTTAATGCAGTCCAATGGACAAATTTAGGCAATATAAATTGTTCTTACATTTATTCATTCATACTATGTGACGACGCCGTATGTTTAGTTAATCATTTTATAAGTTAATTCACATTGTTCAATCGAATTTTATAAATTTTTTTTAAAAGTATGGCAGATCATTTTTGTATTTTATATTTTTTCACATTTTAAAGAAATCATAAAATAAAAGTTTATAACCAATAAGGGATTTGGGATTTAATGGAACAGGTTATGAGGTTAAACATAGATAAAAAATATTTAGAAAGAAGTTATCTTTCATTAATACATAGTAGGTGTAATCGGTATATTTAGTTGTAATAAAATAATAAACTATTTGCTATATTATGCAAAACAAATGTGATTTTTTTAATGTAATTTAATGCCAATTAATATTCATAATGAAACGATTATCTTACAACGGGCTGTGTAATAGAAAATTTCACTTTATTTGAAATTATTAAAGCGAAAGTTCCGGACGGGATTACGCAAATTAAGTATAAATATTTCGATCATGGATTTGCATTGTAAGGAGCTTGCAATTAGTAACCTATTTTTCGATCACAATTTTTGAAGAACCACGAAAGGCAGACGACATAAATTTTTGCATACTTTACTAAGGTTATTTATTTCTAAATATATCTGATTACCAAATTTTTTCTATCCAGACTATCGATGATTGGCATAACCTTTCTTCTCATTTCAAAATATTTTTGCAAAAAAAGACTTGGGACTTGATGAAGATAACTTGGAGCTGTGGGGAAGGTTAGGCTACACCTTCAGTCATCTTTATTGATTTGCAAGGGGGATTTGAAATTCAGTGCGTAAAAATTTGAGAATAACTTTCCAGCATTCGAACCATTGCTTACTGCTTACTATTGTATCCTAAAATCTAGGGGATAATATCATTATGTATAAAGAATTAAAATGCTCGTAAATAGGTGTGCTGCAAAATTGGAAAAAATAATTTTTTTAAAACAAATAAATTTCTGGAACAAACGATAAAAGCATTTAGTTTACTTAGAAATAAATTTATAAAAAAAATTTCTATTTTGGTCCTCACCCCAAATGCGAGAAGACATCATTTCAATTAAATTTGGGACATTCAATTTATTACCTTACGACCTTGATTAGGAATCTAATGAGAAAACGATTTTACACAATAAACATCTGGCCCATCGAATTACATCATCTGTTAAGACCTGATTTTCGAACGAAGATTTCACAATCATCAGCTAGGATAATGAACAAACAGCTTCAGGTAAATTCGTCAGTAGTCCAAGAAGAGAGTCAAGAAGAGGATAAAAAAATGGATGTGAATGTGAATTTGGATGTGGATGAGATAGTGGAAATAGAATCAAATCAAATGGTTACATCTCGAATAATTCATCTTCGGATAATCTTCCAGCAAGAAATCAAAGAAACAAGCTAGAGCTGAGAACTAAAACATTTTAAAAATTATTGAGAATTATCTTATGACACTATCACGAGATTCTGAAAATGAGAAAAAGAAATGGCTCTATAAAAAGTCTGTACGAGAAGCTTATAATTACTGCATTTTTATTTTCTAAATTTGTACGGTGTGTTGTTGAGAAATTCCAACTACTATTCAATTCTTCTAACCTTTCTGATCCAAATTTTAAGGATGTGTAAAAAAAGAATCTATATAATTTAACGAATATTTACTTTCATTTTTTCAAAAGGGTTATCAATCATGCGAAAAATATTTTGCAAATGGGTCTATAATAATTTTGTTCTAAAGTGATTATTACTTATACATATCTATAGATAGTTGCTGTAAAAAAATTATTTAGAAAATTTACACATAACGCATGACAATGCTCTAAACCTTCCCTTGAGATGTAATAATATATCCCGTACAAATCTTGGTAAAATGATCACATACAGTATATAAAACGGATTTATAATTAAATTCTACTAATAGATCTAGAGTTAAAGTCATTTTTATAAGCTTTGCTTTTCATATGTTCTAAAGATGCTAAAAATTTAACGGATAAGTTCCTATTTATTAATTTATATAATGACCTATTTGATTATAAATACCTAAAATTTCATCGTCCGCTTCAAATAGTTCTCCTTCTTCTTCCCACACTTTCAACGCGGTTATATTAATTGATCTTTTATTTCTATCCTCAAAAAACTCTTTAATTTCTGGTTTTGTAATAATTCTAGAGCAATTTTGTGACGTAAAGATAGTTGTGTTTCTGAGATAGTTTTCGCGTCGGTTTAAAATATTAAAAAATTAAAATAGTGTATCATGTGATTAGCAATTTTATTTCACGTAATACTGATCACATTGCGACATCACATATACTTTATAAACCCCCCCCCCACCATTAAAAACTTTCTTAAACTTTTTTTTTAAAAAAAAAAGTGAAAGCATAACTGAAAAAAAGGAACCGTTTATGAATTTTTTATTCGTTATCTTTTTATTTACCAAACAACAAAACTACTCAACCTCTTACCCATTTATGAAAGACGTGTTACGTACCTGACAATTGATTTTAGTATTAGACAGTAAGTTTCATTTTAGAGTTTTGGAATAAGTATGTGGAAGCTGCTCTTTGTCACTACTAGCCTTCATATTCATATTAACTATTTTTATGATAAAAGGAAAATTATGATATACGAAGGCGAGGAAAGGACTTTTGATGTAGTATATTAAGAAACGTCGGATATATTTAAGGTATAGAGCGTTCCATGTTGTAGACTAAACGTAATACTTAGTGCATGTCGGTAGTCCCTCGGGCTTTGATTCGGTATTCCCTGGTGGCATTACCAGTGTCCCAAGCCATAGACAAAATTAGGTTCTGGGAGGAACCTGGCCAGGCTACCGCTGATCGGTTCTCACGTCATCCTCTGTCTCAGGGATCTAGGGGCCCCCGTTGGTTTTAAGGCTTAAATTCCTAGTACGTAAAACCGTGACTAGTTCGCCTAGTGCAGGATATGATGACGTGGCACGAACGAGCCATGATAGTATCGACCATTATCGTGAGATATCTAATCTTCAAGGTTAGGTGATAATGATTAACCTTGTGCTTCATTTTTTTTTATTTTTTAGTTGAAAATTGTTAATCCGAAGTATCGACACGTCCATAAAGAATCGATTTCCTGTAAGTAAAATAGTTTATAACTTCTTGAGATTAAGGATGCGATTTTATAAAAGAATTTTTAACAACATTTTCTGATATCAAATAATTACAGCCAATTCGTTAAAAGAGACTAATGGGAGGACCAGAAGGAAAGCTTAAAAAAATAACTCACCTCCCCCTTAAAATGACATTATTTCTGGCCTTCCCCAAGTAATATACTGAAAACCAACACAAATTTGGTGATAAGAATCTTATAAAGCAAATTTGTGGCTCAGAAGATAAGCACAAATATTAAGCATCATAACTTGCTTTTAGTTATTAATTTTCAAATCCTAACGCCTATCAATTGTCTTTCCACATTTACAAATCATCAGAATTAAAAATATTCAAGCTTCTCATACTGGATTGAAGGAACATCTTGACACCTAACACAATACCTTTCTGGAATGATATATTCAGTTATTTAACCTCTCCTCAAGCACGCTTGCCGCCGCATCAAACTATTGGATTTTGTCGTTACGTCATATATAAAATTATTTTGCTATAGTACTTTTCAAGAAGATCTTTTCAAGGAGAAATCAGTTGATCTCTTGCCGTTACATTTTCTGTCAAATCCCGCACCTATATCTATCAGAATTTAACTGGATTCTTCCATCAAACTATCAAAGTATAGACTTGCTTGGTGCTTTAAGTGACGCTATTTGTACCTTTGAAAAGAAATTTTCAGGTTGGCAGTCTTGCATTCGTTCAACTAAGAACAGGTGTCTAATATTAAGAGACATTGTTTGGACATGCTTTGAGACTTTTGGACCAAATGTGGAACAATCTAAAATGATTTGGATATAGAAAAATTGCATCACTGCTTGTTAGTGATTAATTTAACGTATTATTCCTCGAAAAAGCATAGATCAACCACAGCTTGTTTCAACAATTGAATTTCTTCACTAGAATCAAAATTACCACATCACAAAAGCGCATCTTCTAAATGATCTGGTCATCTAGTAGCAATTCTTGAATTCTTATCAACTTCAACTGAAAGGTTAGAATTGGTTAATTATCCAAAGAATTTTTCAGTATTATCCTATTAAGTATTTTTAGGCCGGTTCCAAATACTAATGGAGAATTTCACCTTCATAAGAATCTTATATTGAGAGTACACTGGAATAAGTGGAATGAGTTAGTTCACACATACGATAAATCTTGGATTTTATTATTTAAATAAATTTTATAAAAAAAATTCAATTCGTTTTTTATTTTTTTTAATCAATTTTTTATCATGTTTTTTTTTTTAAAAAATATTTTATTAAATAAAATTTTTTTTTTTTGTTATTTTTAACTTATATTTTTTTTTATTACAATTTAAAATCTAATCATTAATTTACTATTCTTTTGATAAATTAAGAAACATTTATTTTAATAAATTTAAATTTTGAACAAATGTAAATTTAGCGAAATTATTTCTTACTTCTATAATATTACATTCTGAAGAAATTTTTTTTTTTTTAGAATTGTTGCCTTTTCATTTATTATGAAACATTAATAAATTTATTTTCGTCGTTTAAAGAACGATAACTTCATTTTTGTGTAACAGTGTACTTCCGATTTTTTTTTAATAAAATTAGTCCTGAGGTTCAATTATACATCACCAACACCCGAATTATTTAAATTATTAGCGAAATGAATTGATTTAGCATTATGTATGATAAAAGATTAGACAAATCTTATTAAGCCACGACGTATGTAGATATAAATATCACATTGATGATATAGCATCGAATGAAGCAAATGACCAAATAACAAATCGTTTCTATTTGCGAAATACAATGAGTGATACCAGCTGTTGGAGTCAAGAGTAGTCAATTTCGGAATTTTCAAATGACTGAGCCGTGACTGAATCGTTGTTCCAAATTCGATATAGCGATAATCTAATTAAAAGGTTAAATGTTTAGAATAATACTAGCAGTTAACCGTTGCTTCGCACCGGGATCAGCAAGTTTGTTTAAATTAATAAATCAATATATTAACATATATAAAAAGAAAATTCTGATTTATGTTTAAAA